GGGCAGGACTTGCTGGGATTGGCTGAGATATGGGGACTCAATCTGAGACAACACATCCTAAACACGTACTGTGTGCCAAGTCTTCTGCTAATTTGGTAGAGAGGTACTGGAGAGAATCAAAGAGAATAGCAGCTAAGTATGAGTTTGATAGCTAGCTATAAAGTGGTTTGATTTACAACCTAGGGACGCAGGTACCATAAGGAAGAGTAAGCCACCCACTGATTTAGGGCAAAGATGAGCATTAGTCAACTTTACTTTTCCAACTCTCTTTTGGAAAGACCAGCAACTGGCTGCCCTTGCTGGCGTGAGCTCCATCTGCCCGGCGGCTGTGTTTGTGTGTGGCGGGGGAGATGTGGGTGGGAGGGAGGTCCAGATTTTTCCCATGGGCAGTTCTGTTAGTAAAGCTAGATGTTGATTATAAATAGGCTCAGAAAATAAGGACAGGCTGGCTTCTGTGTTTTGTTGTGGTCTAACTTGTTTCTTAGTAACAAGCATTTATTAACTACTGGGCATTGCACAACATTGGGCAAAATACCATATGGATTAGTATAGAAGTAGAAGATATTGTTCCTGCTTCCAGGGAGTTAGGAAAGAAACATGCCCTGATGCTTCAACTCAAGAATAGCTTTTAAAAATACATATAGAAAGACATGGAAATTAGTGTAGTAAAAACTTGAGTATTCTGTAAAACATAAAGCAATAAAATTTTACTATAGGACACAATGGAGAGACACACCATGTTTTTGGATAGAACAAATCAATAATGTAAAGATATCAATTATCCCCAAGGTAATGTATATTTGTTGTGTTGCCAATCAAAAATCCCAAAATTTTCATGGAACTAAGTTTGTAATTCATCTGGAAAATAAAATGCCAAAAATCTGCAAGAAATTTTTGAAAAATAGTAAAGGCAGCCCACATTATCAACTCTCAGAATATACCAGAAAGGTATATTAATTAAAGCAGTGTCATATGAATAGACAAATAGATCAGTGAACCAAAACAGAGCATATAGAACAAATGTAAATATTTAATTGAGAACTTAGTGTATATATAAGATAACTCTTGAAATCATTAGGGAAAGGATTGACTATTTATGGTGTAAGGACAATGAGCTAATCTGTTAGGGGAAAAAATGAATTAAATCTTTCTTTCATATCATTTACAAAAGTAAGTGGGTTTAAGGTTAATACATTTTTTAAAATATAGGAGTAATAGAAGGAAACATTGGAAAATATATAATTGGATGTTAGAATAGTTGTTTTTGAAACAAAACATAAAATGCCAAGATTTTAATTAAAAAAAACATTTAACCACAAAATATAAAAATTCTATATGCCATTTTAGCACTGTCTTTTCAGTGTTTATATGTTTATATAAATTTCAAAATATTCCATTGTTCTGGTCCGTGTTGCCTCCCTAGTCTAGACCACGTGACTGGATACCTATTCTGTTTTTGTTTTTGTTTTTTTCTTGTGGTCTGTGGATAAGTTATGCAAACAAACCCACAGTAAAACCCTACCAGAGTAAATGAAGTCCAAAACTTAAATTTGGTAAACTCTGGTGTTACATTATTGTGATGTTAATTAAAAACAGTAGGTGGTATTGTCGTAAAATTAAAGCCTGTGAGATTTCCATTGTCTGCAAAGTTGACCTTACCTTGAACTGCGAAAGTCCCAGGTGATTCTGAGGCAGTTGCCTCCTAACATACACACACACCCACACCCACACACACGCCACCTTGAGAATCCTGTCCCAGCCCGCTCTGAGAGTGGCCTTAGGTGGGCTGGAAAGGGGACATTAGCCAAACACCAATCATTTTATAGCTTAAGTCACATTATTAGGGTACATGTTATTTTTAAATGCATTTTTGTATATTTTTAAAACATATATTTGTCTTTTTAGATTTACTATGTGGGTCTGTATGACGTTCATTTTCGTAAGTCTCCCCTACGTGTTTAATGTGTGGCAGGTGCCCTGGGCATAGACCCAAAGGTGAATGAGCAGCTGGGGGGGTGGGTGCTTGAAAAGAGCTTCTAAATTAATCAAGCCACCCGGGTGCTAGACAGAGCTATGCCCCTGTGAAGGGCACCGTCCCCAGCAGCCTGACTGGAAGTCCTGAGAGATGAGCAGTAGCTGGCCAGAAGAAACTGGGCATGGAAAGAGGAACATTCCAGGCAGAGGCAACAGCTTGAGCAAGGCACCACAAAGAATAACAGTTCGGCACAATGTGTACCTGTTTTGGGGGGTGGGGTGGGGGCTGGAGGTTTAGGTTTGTTAGGGCTTAGGCATAAAGGTAAGCGAGCACCGCAGTGGGGCCGGCCTCCTCGGCCGAGCTAGGACCCGTGCAGTGGAGAGCCATGACCAGGTCTGCGTGTTGAGGTTACCCCTCCATTGGCAGGTGGACGACGGAATAGGCTCACTGACTACAGGCTGGCGGGCCGCTTGCTGGGCTGTAGCCAGGATTCAGAGGAGGCGCATGTTGAACCAGGAGCATGGCATCAAGGTGATCACGTGTCATCATTATGTGAGAAATGTGTGAATAGCCAAAAGGAAATTTTATTTTATTCTTTTGTCCTATTTTCTAAGATTATATTGTATTCTAAACAAGATCAGAAGATGGGCATATAAAATTTAGCCATTCTTCTAACACTTTTAACCTCAGCATTTTTTTTTTTTTTTTTTGTTGCCCAGACTAGAGTGAGTGCCGTGGTGTCAGCCTAGCTCACAGCAACCTCACACTCCTGGGCTCAAGCGATCCTCCTGCCTCAGCCTCCTGAGTGGCTGGGACTACAGGCATGCGCCACCATGCCCGGCTAATTTTATATAAATATATATATATATATATATATATATATGTATTTGGCCAATTAATTTGTTTCTATTTTTAGTAGAGACGAGATCTTGCTCTTGCTCAGGCTGGTTTCAAACTCCTGACCTTGAGCGATCCACCCGCCTCAGCCTCCCAGAGTGCTAGGATTACAGGCGCGAGCCACCTCAGCTGGCCAACCTCAGCATATTTTTATTTTTAATTTATTTGCGTCTGTGTGTGTGTTTAGAGATAGGGTGTCACTCTATGCCCAGGCTAGAGTGAAGTGGCACGATCACAGCTCACTGCAGCCTCGAACTCCCGGGCTCAAGGGATCCTCCTGCCTCAGTAGCTGGGATTACAGGTGTGAGCCACCGCACCTGGCTCTAATTTATATTATAAACAAAAATTTTCTTCCAACTTCCCTTCCAGGAGTGCTCAGGAGTTCGGTTTCTTAGATCACTCCTCTCCTTCTACACAATATGCACTTTCTAACTTGGTAGTCTGAAGCCCTTTATAAATTCTAAATCTACCTCTTGTATAGTATTCAGTTGTCCAATTTACATTATATTTATAAGCTTGCTTTTTGTTACTGTCATAATCCACTCAGCTCTCATAAATGCCATCGTCTGCTTTCCAAACGCCGTGGCTTCAACACCGGTGTTTGCACCTGTGGTGTGACACTGGCAAGTGCCTTCGTGTCCTTAAGGAATTAAAATTATCTTCCCTCTTCTCCCCGCCCCGAAAGAGGAAGCTTGTCTGGGAACTGGCTTGCTTATGGCGATAGTTTCATGTCTCTTAATTTCATGTAGATTTAATTAATTATACACACACAAAAAGAGTAAATGGAAGAAGGGCTCCTGGGATTATCTGGTTCCAAGAGAAATAATAGGTATCAATAGGCAAATAGGTTAAAGTATATTATTAATAAAACACCCAGCCAATGATGGATGCCTCCAAGGGGAAAAAAAGAAACAAAACAAAAACACTCACCACTGTAATAAAACACAGAGTTAAAGGATTGATGTCATTACTGTTTTATATTATATGACTTTAGTCCATGTAGGACACAAATCCTGGCCAACCGTCAGGCTTGGGCTAAAAGCCATGGAAGAGAAACTAATGGCAGTTTCAGTAAATGGAATCATCTTGTACTGTGGTTGTAAACCATAATCATTTCTTAATTGTAACCTGGAACACCTTCTTTTCCCAGTAATTAACTAGTTTAGGATTTCTGCATTTCCTACCAAGGGCCAGAATCACTCTATGTTTTTGTAAAAAACAGTTGTTAGGGAGCCATCATGCCTTGCTTGGGCTAACAAGACTTTATCCTTCACTAATCCAACAAATATTTACACTGCTCTGCCCTTCCAGCACATTCTCTGGGGCTGCAGTCCCCAACCTCTGGGCTGAGGACTAGTACCGGTCTGTGGCCTGTTAGGAACCAGGCTGCACAGCAGGAGGTGAGTGGCGGGCGAGCTAGCGAAGTTTCATCTGTATTTACGGCCGCTCCCTATAACTCACCATTCCCACCCCTCACCCTGTCCGTGGAAAAGTTGTCTTCTATGAAACTGGTCCCTGGTGCCAAAAAGGCTGGGGAGTGCTGCTTCGGGGCATATGGTTGTGCCCCCATCCCCCAAGGCACTTATGGGCTCTTAGGAGAGTTTGCAGCCCTTCCTGGTGTAACTGAGAGCACATGCAGCTAATGGAGTGACCATTGCAGTCATGGCCCGTCTCGTTGGGGGTAGAGAAGGAAGTGAGCATTTAGTGAGCGTGGGTGACGTGCCAGCTATTTAATATACATCAGCTCATTTGGTGATGAGGCTAACCCTGTCAAGTTGAGTGCGTTCAAAATGTGTCACTTGCTTTCTTTTTATTCTGTATTATGGAAATAACCCATGTTGAATTAACACCCTAAATTGAAATATTCTCTATTTAAGCATGTCCTGGTTGATTTCTAAAGCTCATCTGATGCAGGATATATTAATAAATTGGGAAAAGGGGTAAATCATGGCATGGATGTAAGGTAATAAAAAAACTTCATGTTTATGCTTCATGTATAGTATTTGTCAGGAAGAAACTTAAATAGGTTGAAAGACTGCTGAAAGGTTTTTCAGAGCATTATGCTCTGGAACATGTGGGAAACTGTGGGACATGTGGGAAATTGACCTCTCCTCTCCTTCTTTCTCAGATACCTTCCACCGTTGATCTGGGGGAAAAGTGGACACATCCAGACAGCCTTGTATGGGAAGATGGGAAGGGTGAGGTCACCACACCCTTACGGGCACCGGAAGTTCATCACCATGTCCGACGGGGCCACGTCAACATTCGACCTCTTCGAGCCCTTGGCTGAGCACTGTGTTGGAGGTGAGTGGTTTAGGTTGCGTGACTGGGCCATCACTCTGAGAAGGAGCACTGGTCAGTGGTGAGCACGGTGTAAACGCTCGTGCCACTAACTCTGTCCCCTCTCATCGGGGCTGTTGGGAAGTCTGCTAAGATTCCTCCTTTAGGAGCAACCTGCAGGTGTAAGCTCCAACACTTGCTTGCCATTCCTTGTAAAGCTCTTCGGAAAACCCTGCAGAGCACAGTTTTGTAATCCTCTAGTAAAATACAGAAGCTTAGCGCAAGGGGATGAGAAAGCGCTTGGAGCCCAGGCCCCCAAGGACCAGGCCTCTGGGTTGACGACAGCAACAGAGGCTCAACTGTGCCCAAGTGCTTCTATATACTGCTACCGCATTTAGATCTCATACCCACCCACTGAGGTCAGTGCTTCCCTTATCTCCACCTTACTGATGGGGAAACTGAGGCTTGGAGATGCCATGTAGGCTGGCGGTGGTGGTTGGATAGCAGCAGGTATCAAAGGCTCTCAAGTTCCCTTTGCTTAGGCTTCCCTGGGCAAAATGACACATTAAGGTCATATTTATCATGCAAGAGTCTAGGACACTTATTTCTGAGAAACAACGCCAATTTCTGTTGCTGCTGGAATGTGGCATCCTTCAGTCCAGCCTACAGTAAACGCTCATTATGACACGCTTCATAAGGAGGACTTTTGAGGGAGTGCAGTTAGATGCCGACATCCTTTTGAATGGCATTCCTACTGCAAGAGAGCATGTTCCATGGTATTCAAAACCACCAGTTTTATAGGAGCTCAGTAATTATTTATGGGTAAATTCCAGTAAATGTATTATAACCCTCAGTTATTTAAAGTGACTAGAACTGTCGAGTAGCTGGTGACAAAGATTTAATTTATATTCCCTCTGCCTGAAATGCGTGTCCCCAGGCCTTCACAGGCCCCTTCCTTGTCATCCAGGTCTCAGCTCAGATGTCACCTCCTGAGAGGGACCATCCCTGACTCCCCTAACTAGTGCTTCCTTCCTGCTTTAGTTCTTCACGGCGCCAACTACTCTCTAGCCTCACCTGTGTGGCCGTCTGTTATTTATCCCCTAGAATGTGAGAATGCCCGGAGCCCAACCGCGGGCTCCCAGTAAGCAGTTGTAGAAGGGATGAATAAATGCGTAGGTTAGGAGTTTTTATATTGTGTTTATACATCTATAGCTGGTCTGTCAAATATTTACTTCTCTACCATACCCAGCTAAATATTTTCTTTCTCTTACTTATAATGCTTCTACTTTTTTTTACCACTAAAGCACAAAATTTCGTTTGGCCATCTGCTTTTCCTACCAGTACTGGGAGGGGATGTTGAAAGGGCAGAACTCTTGATTCTTGTTGTACTTGTTCATGTCTTCCCATCACCTCTGTCCCCGGAAGGGTTCATGAAGGTGGTTCTGGGGAAGGCAATTTGTACCTAAGAAGTACTATACAAAAAGCGGCCCTTTTTTCCCTTTTATGAAATTTTTTTCTGACTTAAAAGGAATAAGTCTTCCTTGTAGAAAATTTATATAATACAGAAACAATTAAAAAAGAAAATAAGGTTTTCAAAGCGTGGTGGCTCACACTTGTAATTCCAGCATTTTGTGAGGCCAAAGCAAGAAGATTGCTTGAGGCCAGGAGTTCAAGATCAGCTTGGGCAACATAGCAAGACCCTGTCTCTACAAAAAATTAGCTGGATGTGGTGGCGTGCGCCTATAGTCTCAGTTACTCAGGGGGTTGGGGAGGGGGGTTTGTTTGGGGTTGGGGTTTGGGGGTTCCGTTGGGTTTTGTTGTTGCCCTTGCCTTCCGGCTTGGGGCACCGGGGCAGGCCTTTTTTTCAAAAAAATAAAGAAGAAAAGAGGAATCACTTATAATCTCACCACCCAGTATACCATTGTTTTGTGTTGCCCAGGCTGATCTCGGAACTCATGGCCTCAAGTGATCCTTCTGCCTGGGCCTCCTAAAGTACTAGGATTGCAGCGTGAACCACCACGCCTTGGCCCCTTATTTTCTTTTTTAATTGTTTCTATATTATCTAAATTTTCTAAAATCTTTAAAAACACAATTTTAATGATTGTTTTGCATTCTACAATGTGGTCACACCATAGTTTAACCATTCTTCTGTTGAGCATTTAGCTTGTTTGTCATTTTGTCACTATGAATAATTCTATGATGAGCATCCTTAATCATAAAAGTTTAGATGAGAGTCCAAGAATTGGAATTACCAGATCAAAGTTCACAAACTTTTAAGGTTCTTTATATGTACTACAAAATTACTTACTAATTCAAATTTCCTTACCAGCATTAAGAATTTTTAAATGATTTTAATCTTAAAGGAAAATTATGATCAGATTTAATAACTTAAATATCACTTTTCTACACTTGATCTTAGCCAAAAGGCCAAGAAGTGATACTACCACTTTTCTTTCAAAGAAAAATATGTATTCAGATTTTCAAGTAGGTAATTGATGCTCATGGTAGAAAATTCAAAGGTACTAAAGATAGACAGTGGAAGTAGAAGTCCCTCTCCTACCTCTACTCCCCACCCAGACCTTCCCCAGTGGTACCCACTGTGAGGTTTCTTGTGTATGGCTCCAAAGTTAGTATAATCATTTATAAATATAGATAGATATCTTTTTTTCCTCCACACAAATGGTGGCATTATTATAACCCTTTCCTGCACCTAGCTTTTTTCACTTACTATGTAGGAAATCTTGCCGTGTCAGTATATATAAGGATGTCTCATTATTTTTAAAGGCTTAATAACATTTCATCACTTGGATGTGCAATAATTTATTCAATCAGACCCTATTTATGGACATTTAGGTGTGTCCAGTCAAATGTAAAGCTGTGTGTGTGTGTATATGCAATATATATTGTTTTGCGTATATACAATTATATCTGTAGGATAAATACCTGAAAGTAAAATTGCTGGGTCAAAGAGGTCTGTGCAAGCACTACTTTTAATTTTTTCATTCATTTGTTCATTCACACAGAATTAAGAGAAACATGCAGGAACTTCTATAGCAATTCGACAGAGTAATTTTATATCTGTTGAATCTAATAATAAAAAATTGAGATTTATATATTTTTGCATTTCATTTTTCTAGTATTTAATTTTTATTGTATTTTCCAAAAGGGTCTGTCCATGACTTATTGGAAAGTTTAAAAACTAACCCCTCACCATAAATAGTTTGAGAAGCACTGATACAGACAACTACAGCTAGAAGGGAAAAGAGAATTGAGTGAAAAGATGTATGTTAAATTCCCTCCTCCTGTCTTCTAAGCCAGTGAAGTATAATTATGTCTATTTGTCATGTCACACTTTTTGGATACATGAGGATCTTTCTGTCCACCCCGTAGATGACATCACCATGGTTATCTGCCCTGGAATCGCCAATCACAGCGAGAAGCAGTACATCCGCACCTTTGTTGACTACGCCCAGAAAAATGGCTATCGGTGCGCCGTGCTGAACCACCTGGGCGCCCTGCCTAACATCGAACTCACCTCGCCACGCATGTTCACCTACGGTAAGCATGGGGCATGGCTAAGTGGAGTCCCCCCTTTTTCTGTCCTCACCACAAGTGTGCTGCTACTTCTGCTTCTCCCTAATGTTAAGTTTTAAATCTATGCCCATCCACAAGAGATGGTGAGGCACGCAGTCGTACCAGCAGCTAGCCTGTGCCGGGCACTTGCGTTGCCCTCCTCGCCCCAGCCACCTCACCTCACGCAGGCACAACTGAAGTTCACAGGGGAAGGTCTGGCCCACGGTCCCCTGGCTGGTGTCAGCAGGGCGGGGAGCTAAATAGATCGGGTGGCGGAGTATGTGCCCTTCACCACTGTGCCGTCTCGTTCCTTGGGACTCTCGTGACTGGCAGGCTAGGGTGCAACGAGGCACGTGGATGTCAGCTGGAGGGAGCCGGGCACGCTAGCATCGCGCTGGATTTCAGGTTCCTGGAGGGCAGGAATTGGATCTCATATGAGACAAATAAATGCTTCTTGACTTTAATTAAAATCCTGTGTTAGCTAAGGCTCTGGCTTCTGGACTGCTCATGCTTGATTCCTGTTTAGCTCTCTTCAGATGATATATGCACACATAAATAATAAACACATAAATTATGCATCTGTATATGCACAAGTAAATCTGGGATGTTTATGACCAAATAAATTATAATACGTTTTAATGGGAAATAACCAAAAGAACCAAAAATTGTGTCTATAATCTCACCATAATTATAATTTTCTATTTCTTCATTCTCCCTTTCTTTATCTGTATGTACATAGTCTTTTAGTTGTAGTCACAGTGTGTATATCTATGGTGACTTATTTAAATAACTTTATATTCACTGACATAAAGATGCATAGTCATTATATATAATCTTTTTAAGAGCCACATTGCTATTACTATATTATAGTTTAACCATTTCTCTTTGTAGGGCACTTAGATTATTTAAAGTTTTTTCAGCATTTTAAATAATGCTATAAATACTGTGTCTTGTACACAGAATTTTTTCTCTTTAGTGACTTCTTTGGGGTAAATCCCCAGTAGAATCATGGAGTTGACATTTTTTATGCATATTTGTACATCTTGTCAGACTGTCCTCAGCAAAGTCATCACGGTTTATGCTGCTGCTGGTAACACGTAAGGGCACTATCTCCTGTAAGGACAGCTGAGGGAAGGTCACAGGCAGGGGAGGGTGAACAGGTGTGCCTGCTTTGTGGCAGGCAGAACGCTGGGTGCTCCGTGTCCTCCTCTGTGCTCCCTCCCACACCAGAAGACGCCCATTTGACAGACTCTGTTCTACAGTTCGAGCAGTGGCTTGAGATATAGGTGAATATCCACATTTACAGAGGACACAGGTACATGGGGAATAGTACGTGGAAGATGGAATTGGATCCAAAAGGCAGAAACAGGCCAACTCCAACACGCATGAAAAGAATGGGGAATGATTATAAGGTCCTACACTTGGGCATAAACGTCATCTATACGTGTAGAGGACGGGGAGTCATGGGTTGGCTGCAGGGCCAGGACGGAGACTTGGGAGCACTAACAGTACCGTGTGCCAACAATAAGATGAGAAATGCCAGTGAGGGCACTTAAAGTGTGCCATAGTGCTGATGTCTCACAGCCATAATCCCATTAATCTCCACAGCAACCCATGAGACAGTAAAATTCTGATGGGCAAACTGAGGCACAGAGAGGTTAAGTGGTTTGGCCAAGGGTGCAGAGCCAGCAAGTAGAAGAGCTAAGACATGAGTCAGGCTCTGGCTGCCTCCGCCTCTAGAATCGTCTCAGAGCTCGCAGCGTAGCTGGGTCTGCGTGGTCCAGGCCCCTGCCCTCCGAGTGCTGCCCTGAGGGCTGTGGACCGAGGAGACCAGGCTGGAAGTCACGGCCACCCCCAGTCACGGGAGGCTGGCAGTTGACGGAGCGGAGGGGGCCGAGCTCACAGAGGACCCAGGGCAGGAGGCAGCTCTGGGTCACATACCCCCGCGCTGCCACTGACTGGCTGTGTGGCCTTGAGCAGTTTGCTTAAACTCAGTTCCGGATTCCTCACCTGCAACAGTGGGGGCGACAGTTAAGGGTACTAAGGACTTGGCAGGCAGTTGATTACCATATAGCCAACATTTATTAAACGTTAGGTTTATTTTTTTTCAAATACTGGAAGGTCTGTTAATGCTGGCGAGGGATCAGCCGTGCTCTGTGTGGCCCAGATAGATAAGACGCGTCCTGCGGGGAGACGGGACTGTCCATAAGGAACTGCAGCACAGGGGATGAGCGTGCCGGCGGGCGGCCTGGCGGGTGGGGCAGCAGCGTGGAGACCAGCCTGACCGTAGACGGGAGTGGGGTATGGAAGCAGAACCCCCCCGGGAGAGCATTTGCGCTGGGCCCCAAGGAGGAGCTCGAGCACAGCCGGAGCTCACGGCAGCGCGGACCGGGCTCTGGGCGGGCGCCGCAAGCAGACAGCGTCCCGCCGCCTGTGAAGAGCCCACGGGGAGAGCCAGTTTATCTGGGGAGTTTATCAGAATTTTGTTATATATTAGGAATGTTCTAAAGACAAGTGACCTAGAAGAAATGGGTGATTTTCCTAACTTTGTGTACTTCAGTGCGAATGTATTTGTCAGCTTTTGTTTCTATACACTGTACCGTTATTAATGTTTAATTATTATTGGTGATGTGCCCTAATATCTGATAGTGCTAACCCCGACGCAGTGCTGCTTCAGAGTGTGCTCTTGTCTCCCTGCCTATTTCTTTTTTTTTTTTCCTCTGTTGAACTTCAGAATTATTTGTCAAGTTCTACGTTAAATTTCTATGTTAGTCAAGATGGACTAGATTCTATGGAAACAGCTCCCGAATCTCAGTGGTTTCGAAACAAAGATTTGTTCCTGCCTCCCACTCCCCGTGCACAGCGGCTCGCTGGAGTGTGCCGTGTGCGCGTCACTGTCCTTGCTCAGGGACCCAGGCTCCTCGAGCCGCCACCGGCTAGGGCATCACGGGCCTCCCGAGAGTGGAAGAGCGCGGCTCTTGAAGCTTCTGCCCGGAAACGAGAGAGGTCACTCCTGGTGGCATTTATTGATCAAAGTACACTACACACTACACAGCCGAGCCTAACTTCAGCGGGACAGGGGAGACACATCCTCCCCAGGGGGGGAGAGAAGTTATTGGTGAACTCTCGCACAGTTGATCACAGTTTTTGAATAGGAATTTTAATTTATAAATTAACTTGGAAAAGTTTACAGAGCTTACTTTCCTCCTCCAGGAACATAGCCTTTTCCTTCAAGTATTCTTACATCTCTCCATTAGAGAACTTCTCGTTCTCTTTCTGTAGGTCAGCAGTTACCAACATCTGAATTCCCACTGCAGGCCAGGCGTGGGAGGATCACTTGAGGCCAGGAGTTCAATACCAGCCTGAGCAAGAGCAAGACCCCATCTCTAGAAAAGAAAAAAAAAAAAAATAGAAAAATGAGCCAGGCGTTGCGGCACACACCAGTAGTCCCAGCTACTCAGGAGGCTGAGGCAGGAGGATCGCTTGAGGCCAGGAGTTGGGGGTTGCAGTGAGCTACAATGATGCCACTGCATTCTAAACTGGGCGACAGAGCGAGATTCTGTCTCAAAAAAAAAAAAAAAAATGCCAATACCAGGGGCTCAGCTTCTAGGGAGTCTCTAAGGTACAGCCAACATTTTTTTAGAGCCACAGATGTAGGTCTTATCCCTCTGTCTCCTCTTTAGTTTTGTTTTTTGTTATTATCTTTTTACTTTTTATTATCAAAATTTTCAAAATACATAGAAACAGGAAGAATAGTAGAATGAACCCAGAATAAACCAACATACCTGTCACCCAACCTCAGCAATTATTCTACTTGTAGCCAATCTTGTTTCACCTGTGAGCCACCCTCTTCTTGAAGCCCTTCTCAAAGATTATTCTGAAGCAAGTCCCAGACAGTCTGTCATTCCATCTGTGGCTATTTCAGTGGGTATTGCTAAGACACAGAGACTCTTTGTAAACTGTTTTTATTTGTTAGGCTGCCAGAACGGAATAACCACGGTCTGGGTGGCTTACACAACAGAAATTTATTTTCTCACAGTTATGAGGCTAGCAGTCCAAGATCAAGGTGCCAGCAAATCTGGTTTCTTCTGAGACCTTTCTTCTTGACTTTGTAGGTTAAACAGCTTCTTGCTGTGGGTTCACACTATAGATATCTCTGTCTGTGTCCATCTGTGTCCGATGTCGCTATGTCTGTGTCCTAATCTTTTTTAAATTCTTTAATTAAATTTTAATTTAAATTTTTATTAATTTTTAATTTAAAATTTAATTTAATCTTTTTTTTTTTTCTTGCTCTGTCACCCAGGCTGGAGTGCAGTGGTGCAGTGGCTCAAGCAATTCTCCTGCCTCAGCCTCCCGAGTAGCTGGGACTACAGGGGCACATCACTGCATCCAGCTAATATATTCCATTTCTTTAGAGGTGGGGTCTTGCTATATTGCTTGGGTAGTCTTGAACTCCTGGGCTTAAGTGATCCTTCCACCTCAGCCTCCTGAGTTGCTGAGATTACAGGCATGAGTCACCACACCTTGGCTCCTCTTCTTAAAAGGACACCAGTCTTACTGGATTTGGGGCCCACACTAACAATCCCATTTTAACTTAATTACGTCTTTAAATGCCCTGTCTCCAAGTACAATCACATTCTGACATACTAGGGATTAGGACTTAAACATATGAACCTTGGAGTGACACAGTTCAGCCCATAACATAAACTTAAGTACAGTATTATCATCACAACGAAAACACTTAAAACAGTATTCCTCTATAGCAGTTTGGTTTCCCCAACTGTCTTCTTTCTTTTTTACCTTTTTAATTAGCTTGCTCAATTCAGAATCCAAGTCAGGTCTATATATTGCAATTGGCTGGTAAGTTTCTTATGCCTCTTTTAAATCTCCTTCCCTTCACTTTTAATAGGTCCTCAACCAAGTCCTCCTCCTCCATGTGGAGTGGCTGGATGTGACATTGGGGGCCTCTCTGGATCCCCAGGATA